AAAAAAAAAAAAAAAAAAAGTGATTAATTTACTCAATGGCACATGAAAGCATAAAGGGCACGTTGCTGGTGTCGCAGGGAGCAACTGGCCACTGTTGTGCGGTTTCGATTCCCAGGTGGGTCGGTGGAAATAGCACAAAAGAACCAAGTGCTGAAATGCCCGGCTGGTCGATAGCAGAAGTTAACGAACAGAGCCGCCCGCCTGGGTATTTCAGAGTATCCATCGACACCGTCCATCTGGTTCCCCAGTGCATTTGGCAGGGGTGGTAGCTCCAGAAGTGTTGGGGTTCAGCAAGAACAAGTGCAAAGTCCTGCACGTAGGGCCAAGCAATCGCATGCACCGGTGCAGGCTGGGGACCGACTGGCTGGGCAGCAGCTCTGCAGAAACGGGCCTGGGGGTGACAGGACAGTAAGATGGATATGAGCCAGCAGTGTGCCCGTGGTGCCAAGAAGGGTACCAGCATGCTGGGCTGCATTGGGAGGAGCGCTGCCAGCAGCTCGAGGGAAGTGATTCTTCCCCTCTGTTCAATGCTAGTGTGGCCACATCTGGAGTCCTGTGTCCAGCTGTGGCCCCCACTGCAGAAAAGATGTGGGCACATTGGAGAGAGTGCAGCGGAGGGCAATGGAAACGTTTCAGGAGCTGGGGGACAGGACTGGAGAGGAGAGGATGAGGGAAATGGGCTGATTGAGTCTGCAGAAGAGAAGACCGAGGGGGGTTGAATAGCAGCCTTCACCTCCCTGCAGGGGGGCTGCAAAGAGGATGGCGCTGGGCTGCTTTCAGTGGGGGCAGATGGCAGGACAAGGAGCAATGGGCTCAGGCTGCAGCAAGGGGGGTTGAGGTTGGATATTAGGAGAAACTTTCTCATGAGGAGGGTAGAAAAGCACTGGGACAAGTTACCCAGAGTGGTGGTGGAGTCTCCATCCTGGGAGGTTTTGAAGACCTGGCTTGACACATCCTTGTCTGGGACGATGTAGTGGGGGCTGGTCCTGCTTGGAGCAGGGGGCTGGACTAGATGTGACCCCTGAGCTCCCTCCCAACCCTCACTGTCCATGATATGAAGTGGAATGAAAGTGCCTGAGGCTGCACAAGGTTGGTGCCATCATCACCGAGCACGGTGCAGCGAAGCCGAGCCAGCGTGCAAGCGAGCGACCATCGTCCCGTGCCGGGCCCTGTGCAGACCCGCCCAGGAAGGGGAGTCCTCATGCAGTTTTGGGTATTCACCCACGCTGCAGGGAGAGCATGACTGAGGGTCATGCCCTTACCCATGCTGTGCCGCCTTCTTCACCGATGGGTTTATCCACAGGACCAACTGCTAGCATTGCTTGCACCCAGGATGGGCTTCTTCATGTCCCAAGCTAGCCGCTGGCAGGCTGACCGCCTGGGAAGAGTTTCACGTAGGATCCTTTGATCAGCCAGGCAGCTGCTGCTAGTGGCGTTTGCTGAGAGTCATCGCACGTGCCCACATCCCTGCGTCCCCCCGGTAGAAAACAGTTATGTCAATGCAAGCGCTCCGGTGCAAAAAGCAGCTTGTAGATGTCAACTTCTGATGCTCTCAGTCCCGGGCGCTGCGAACGCTTCAGTCTGGTGGTGACGAGCGAACCCTTTTGCTGGCCCTGGCACGCTACGCGCGCTTCTCAGCGCTGCCCGTGATGAAGTCATTTGTGTCCCCTCTGTCAAAGGTGCGCAGCGCGGGAGGTTTCTGCTCCTCGCCTCTGGGCTGTCTCTGGAGCCAGAGGAGCGTATAGAGCTACAAAATCAATGACGCTGCCCAAGTGCCTTGAATTGGACGGCAGGCTCTTGCCGCGCAGCCCTGCCTCGCTGGCTGCTGTCGGAGGTGTCGGGTTTGATGAATGAGCTGGTTGATAAATGCAGATTTGATTTGGTGGCTACGAGTTTTATTTCCACGGAGCCGGAAATTGGGCCATGCTTCAGGGGGACGCGCGAGATGGCTTTGCAGCGTGGTGGGCGGCTGGGATCCCGCCGCGGGGTGTCACCGTGCCGGGTCTTCAGGGGCCGCGACTCGCGTTGAGCAGCATCGTGCACCCCCTGCGCAGGAGCAAGACGCTGCCTGAAATCCTGCCCCATCCAAGTCAGGGGTGAAAGCCTGCAGCCGGGCCCTGATTTGTCCCCTGGATGCTTTGTTTCCCAGCCGAGTCCATGGGACGTGAGCTTGAGCCTCCCCGAGAGGTGAGCCCAAAAGGGAGAGGGGTCCCTGACCTGGCATAGCGCCTTGCCTCGGAGCAGGCGATGGAGCAACCCATTGCTCAGCCTGGCAATGCAGAGGCAACATGGGAGAGCATCTGAGCACCTTACTGTCTGCCCAGAAAGGACATTAGGTCAGTTGGGGAGCGACTGAACCATCTGGTTGGTGTCCCCTACCCCTGGTCAGCCCCGGTGTCGTCTCTGCCAGGAGCAGTAGTCGCACCTGCCCTTCTCGGCCGCCCTTCACCCCGAGTGCGTCCACACTGCAGGACTTCTCATGTCCCCCAGCTCCTCTTCCTCCCTGCAGCTGGAGAACAAGCCCGACCTTTCTTCCCATGCACGGCCCCGCGCTGGCACAGTCGGGGGAACAGATTTATATCATTCTAATTTTATTGCATTTGCAGGCGCTGCAATCCAATTACAAGCCCTTTAGGCAAGCCGCACATCTCCCCTTTCCCCCCCCGCCGCCCTGCTTTCTCTCCACTGATTAATTCGCCATGAATTCTGTAAAAACGATCTTTATCCCATGCTCGCCCGGCGCCGTGGAGACCTCGGTGCCTTCGCGCTCGGCGTCCAGCACCTCCTGGAAAGGGCTTGGTTCTAGAAATTATTACAAAACTCCCTTTTGTTGGGGTAAAGTGGCATGTTGCATGCACGTTCTCCACGGCGACCCTCCACCCTTTGTGGGACGCTGCCCCTTTCTTCATCCCTGGGTGCCAGGTGCAGGGAGTGGGTGGGCTGCACTTAGCGGGTGTTGTATTGCGTTTAAAAACAATACAGGGTGAACCTTTGCCTTGACGTCCTCGCTGCACCCAGGGCTTCTCTCCCTCTCTGCAGCCTGAGAGATGCTCCATCTCCCTTGTTATCTCTGGGCTGGGTCCGAACTGGACCCCCGTGTAGCCTGAGGCAGTGCATTTATCCTGGATCTTCATTTGGGAGCTTTGCAGCAGGAGCGAGGGCAAGTCAACAGCTCCCCTCCCATGCACTGGCTCTAGCATCTAATTCACTCTTCCCAGGGGTCACTTTGCCGTTTCCCTCGTCTTTCTGGGGAAAGGACGGTGCAAGATCCCCCCCCTCTTTGCTCTATTCCATATCCTTTGTGCTAACGATCGTGAACCCTAGTTTTCATCCATGCACTAATCTCCTGAGATTTTACAGTCGCACTGATGCTCAAACTCACTTTGCTTTTGTTGCATTGCTTATTCTCTTTTTTTAACTGTGTGGTTGGCAGGACTGCACAGACCTGTTGCTTCCTCTTAGAAGTGAGTTTGCAAAGTGCACTGGTAAAGGCATCCGGTTTTTTGTCTCGGGGATTTACAAAACTGCACAAGGAGGTTCGTTGCCCGTTATGATGGGATTGAACCCTCATGATCTGGGGGAGGAGTGAAACAGCTGCCATTCATTTGGGGAAACTAGGGGCAAAATGTGCTTCTTGGTGAAACGAAGAAGTTGAAACAGCAGCAAGTCCCTCCCCGCTCCGAATACGAGAGGTGTGCGTCACCACCCGAAGCAACAGCACGGGTCAGCAAAGGGGCCGTGTCGCTGGTTGGGCAGAAGGGCATGGGGGTGAAGAAAATGCCCCAGAAACACAAACAGGGACGCCCAAGAAAGAGCAAGATGCTGAGCAAGAGCCCTCGTGGGACTGGTGTCGGATGAAAGGGGCTTGGAGCTGGGAGCAATGGAAGAGTCCCTTGCCGAATGGATACCTCGGTGAATATGGCCCGCAGTAATTCAGGAGCACAAATACTGTGGATCAGAGCGGAACGGGTGTTGCTAAAGGCCCCGGGTACTAGGAAACCCCCTAAACAATGTGTGCCTGTTTACCCTCCAGGAGGCAGGGAGCACTCCTTACGTCCAAACCTGCTGAGGATGATATTATAACTATCGTTATCACCGTAACGTAAAAGTGACATCATTATTTCAGAAGGTCGTAGGCCATCGACTGTGGGATTCACACCACAGGCAGTCAGTGAAGCCAGGAGTTTGGCCGTATTGAAGTCTGGATTGCGCACTTCTATCCAAGGCTCACACCAGTTTCCAGCCAGTCCCTTGCTCTAGGAGATCAGGGGCGGCGATAAGGGGCTTCCCCCATGCCCGAGGGGGTCTTGCACTGTGGACGGGGTCCGTGCTCCACTAGATACCGATAGACCTCGGTCTAACCCCGTTTGGCAGCTCCTGTGTCCTTAGCGGGGAGGGAGAGAGACGAGGCACCGGGGAGCCCGCGTGCCCCGTGGGGTGCAGCAGAAGAGCGGACGCGATGTATTCAGTAATTAGCTGGGGGAAACAAAGACTTTGAGCCCACTGTGTCGGCAAGCAAACTGCAGACCTGATACTATGGGAATACGGTGATTTTAATTATTAAAAGATCCCTACAGGTCTGGGGCTCAAAAGCACAACAAATGGCCCCCTTATCAGAGAGCAAAAAGAGGCTTGCGAGTGGTCTGCAGACCTGAACGTGTATGGGAATGGCTGCTACTCACGGTTTTTTCTTTGCATTAACAAGCCTGGGTCTCTTCTGTTGTAATCTGTCTGCAATAATTCAGTTTTCAATCACCGGTTTCATTCCACCAAGTCATGAATGCCCTGAAATGCTTTCAAGGAAGCTGAGGAGCTGTGTATGCTCTTGTGCTTTTTCACATTGAACTTACTTGCCCTTTTCTTTCTTTCTCCCTAGTAAAAGAGGCTAAAAACCTAGTTCCTATGGACCCTAATGGCTTATCAGACCCCTATGTGAAACTTAAACTAATCCCTGACCCCAAAAGCGAAAGCAAACAGAAGACCAAAACCATCAAGTGCTCCCTGAATCCTGAGTGGAACGAGACCTTTAAATTGTAAGTACCGCAGAGCATTTTTAATCTTGTAAACTAGCCCCTCTTGCCCCCAGAACGAATGGGAATGTATTTGCTGTGCTTTAATTATTCGGAGAGATTAAGCTGATTCAATGGAGAAGTACCTTTTTTTTCAGTTACATAAATGTGACTCGGAAACGCTCTGACTTCTGCTCCGTGCCCTGATCAAAGTCTTGCATTTCAATGAGAGAACTTCACATTCTCCGTTTGAAATGCACGCTATCGGGGAAATTAAACATTAGAGAGCCCTGCTGTCGTTGAAGACCGTCACTTCATTTCATATTCATTTATTTATCGAATGCACAGGGGAAGCGTGTGGAAGCGTGGAGATAACTTCCACCGCCGAAACACTCCTTTTTCGTTTCTCTCTTGCAGTCAGCTGAAAGAATCGGACAAAGACAGGCGGTTGTCCGTGGAGATTTGGGACTGGGATCTGACCAGCAGAAATGACTTCATGGGCTCGCTGTCCTTCGGGATTTCTGAACTGCAGAAAGCAGGCGTGGACGAATGGTAAGGGTCCAGTTATTCGGAAGCGACAAGGTTGTGGCCTAGCAGCGTCACCTCCTTTCCCCTCAGTGGAGAGTGCCTGAGCCTTTCCGGTGCACCTCACCGGAGGGATCTCGGTCGTTTTGCACCCAGAGGTCCCTCCGTTTCATACAGTGTTGGTGCCCCTCGCCTCATGCTGGTGCAAATAATTCATATCGGGAACATGGATCAGGTGCCAGAAGGAGATCAGCAAAGGGAGAAATTTCCCTGCATTGTGGATTGCTTTTATTCCCTGTGTTTTCGGGGTTGTTTTATACCTTGTTTGGGGTCTGGCCATTTTGGAGTGCCCAGGGTTTCTCTTGCATACGTGCCTATGGGAGACACACACAGCGTCGAAGTCGCGGTCTCAAGGCCTGACATTTCTTCCCACGTACTACCGTGCACGTTTCGAAAGGTCAAGCCTACATGGCTGCACGGGAACTCAGAAGACATCATCTGGCATCTCATTTTCACTCGTCTTTTAGCGCCGCTGACATACCAAAAGAGCCATTGTGTTGATCATAAAGTTTAAAAGCCAGATCAGTAGCTAGTTAAGAAAGCCTGGAGAAGAAGCATGAATTCTGTCTGAGGCTGTTGCTTCTGCAGCATGTGGACTCGCAGAAATGATGATTAGGGGTTTCTTTCAGTAAAAAGAAGAAATGCTGTCCAAGGCATGTAATTACTGTCACTTGTTACCATACGAAAGATGAACACAGTGGGCCCATAAAACTCATGCTGAATGGGGCCTATTCATTTCCATTTTATCTTCCCCAGCAGGATACATGCCATTTTAATTTCCTTTTTTAGCCACCGATGCCTGAAAGCGACGTTACCTTTCCACGGGAAGGATTATAATTTAAAATCGGTATTGTATGCCTCTCGCAAGCCAAGAACCACATGGTATCAATTTACATGGCGTGAGGCAAACAGCCTCCTTGGGTTCCCCCCTTCTCCTTCAAGGCGCTGTTTGGCAGCTCTGCGGGCGAAGCATGCGGTTGCTGGTAGCTCCAGCTTCGCTGGGGAGGACGGCTCTGCAAACAGTAGTCAACACCTGGGACACGTCTGTGATTTTTATTATTTCTAACAAGCACTGACCTACCCAAAAGCAACATGCCCGTATGTCACTCTGCGCCTGCCTGCTCTCTGCAGCATCCCTCCTAGCCAGGCAGAGTCGAGCAGACACTTGTGAAACCCGGTCCCTTAGGCAGAGAGGGGCTGCCAGACCCCATCTGCTCCCAGGCCGTGCTTCTGCACGGTCGCTGTCGTAGAGGTATGGAGCAGCTCCGGGGAGTTGCTGTTTCAGTAGCCAGCAGGAACGTGCATGGGAAGACGATGCCCATGGGACTGCTCCATCACGGGATCATAGCGGGGCACAGCGCTGTCCTCGTGTCCGGCCTTGCAGCATTTCTGCTAACGAAACAGCCAGGATGCTCTGCGTTGGTCCTCCAGAGCTCTCCGCGCGCCTGACGGACACCCGTGATACCGCTCTGCCCCTGTGGAAAGCAGCCTGGTGCTGGGGGTAGAAGGGTGGAGGGAGGCAGGCGTGGCCCATTCAGAGTCTGCAAAGCTGAGAACGGCTGCCCTGTTTCACACCCCTTCATCGGAGATGTAGCTCCTGTCCCGAAAACACCCGACTTTTGCATCCCTCCAGGATGCGTGGTCAGCTGCAGAAACGCCCGTGTTGCGGCGCAGCGTGGCGTGCCACCTCTTTTTCACACGCGCTGGAAATGGTTTCCCACAGACTTTTAAAAACCACGTCAGCTGCAATCTCAGTAATTTCCCCGGCCGCGGCGTTTGGCTGGGATAAGCCCCGGTGGAAGGCTCCTGTTTCATATCTCAACAAGTGCAGTTAATGGAGGAAGAGCCCGTCCCTGTGTTATGCAAATAGCTCTTTGTTCATCTGCGGTAGACACCAGCCTCTGTAGATAACATCCAGCCGATCGCCGGTCCTCTCTGGCGGCTGCGGAAGAGAGTTCACTGATGGAGCCGAGGCCTCGCAAGACACCTCCGATCTGAGTGACGCCTCGTGATTTCTGATAATTGCCAGTTAAAGTTTCTTCCCTTCCCTCCCCCACCAACTCTTTCTTTTCACGAGACTCTGGGCTTTGCTGCAGGATGGGACCTGTTGCAATGCGGCCGTCACGTGTACGAGCGCCCTCAGTAGGACCTGCGGGGAGGAAGGGGCACAATCCTGCTGGCCTCTTTGCACATTTTGGGAGGTGCCCAGGCTGGCTCCAGAGCCCACTGACAGCAGTGATTTCCCTGGGCTTTGGATCAAGCCCCTAATGTAGAGGAGGCTCCGGTGCCTCCTGGTGCGTACGCTCCTTTGCAGCAACAACCTGTTACCAGCAACTCCCCGGAGGGAAAGTTTTCTGTGCCAGGGACAGAGATGTCACTCCCTATACCAGCAACAGCCTCTTTAGAGCAACGCAGCACCGGGGCACCCACTTGTTGGTGCAAACAGGGTCTGACTGTTTTCAGGTTGAGTTGGGGGTGTGCCAACTGCCCCAGCTGGAGGTAGCCCCCCAAGACTGCGCACCTGGCAATCTGGAGGGGTGTGGAGGGGTGGGAGTGCCTGAATGGGATCATTGAGGCTCTGATAAAGCTAGGAGACGGGCACGGGCCAGGGAGAACCGTGCACAAAAGCCCGAGCTCCAGACAGGCCATGGTGACGCGCTGCTTTTGCTGTATGCTTCCAGGTTTAAGCTGCTGAGCCAGGAGGAAGGGGAGTACTTCAATGTCCCGGTTCCTCCGGAGGGAGAAGAAGGAAATGAGGAGCTCAGGCAGAAATTTGAGGTGAGTGGACTTTTCCTGAATGCTCAGCCCCTGCCTTTACAGCCGGGGGGGTGCAGGGTGCAGCAGGATCCTCTGATATGGTCCTCAGCAAAGGGCTTTGCTTTCTTGGGAGAAGTCCTGGAGTGGAGCAGCGCTCTTCTCCCCTCTTCCTGCCTGCATACGACGCAGCTGGGGAGACCCCGGGGCCGGCCCCCACTCCTCCCCTTGCTCCCCTGGGCTGGCCTGGCTGCCTGCAGGTCATCCCGAGATGGGCTTTTGCACGGTGAGTTTGTTTAGCTGCATTTTAATGAGAAACCACGTCGGGGACTTGAGCGCTGCGTGGCTTTATGGAGCGCAACCCGTGCAGGAGTGCGTTTGGGGCAGGCACTTCAACTGTGTTTGCTGGATGGTAGTTTTCCCCCACCCAGTGTTGGAAGGAGGAGTGTGGGGGAATGGTGCCGTCCTAGGCATTCGCTCCACTTGCCCCGTTCAGATTCAGGAGACGCGATACGCAGCTGAGGCTTTCTCCACGGAGCAGCCGTATGCTGAAGGTCATGGCAGGTGTTGCCCAAGCTGTCCACCCTAACTCGCTTTTCGCTGCACAACTGCAGGGCTGAAGGCTTTGCACACGCCTTTGAGGCTTGATTTCCCAGGTGATGGAAGTTAGCAAGAGCCATCACAGTCAGCAGAGCTCAGCTGCTTGATGCAGGCTGTGCAAGCCTGGTTATGGCGTGTGCCATAAGTGGGTGGTTTCATTCTCCCTTGCTTGCTCACGGGCTCTGTCTCTCTCGGCATCCATGATCAATGCCGCGATGAAACCATTCTGTGAGCCATGCTTGACCCCAACATGCACATTTAGGCTCTGTGCACTTAACGATTTTTGTGCGTTTCTCTGTCCAATATCTGTTTAAAATAGCAGTGCATCTATATGGCCGGACTGTAGTGGCTTATCTCAACAGTTAGATGGAAAGGAAGCCAAATGCAGAATCACTGAGGCTTTCATAGTTTCATACCTTCTAGGGTCAGAAGGGACCTGAGCAGATCATCTAGTCCGACCCCCTGCCATGGCAGGAAAGAGTCCTGGGGTCAAACTACCCCAGCAAGGTGTTCATCTAACCTCCTCTTAAAGCCCCCCAGGGTAGGGGCCAGCACCACTTCTCTTGGAAGTTGGTTCCAGAACCTAGCCACCCTGACCATGA